TGAAGGGTTGGAGATGTAACTCACTGTAAAGGCTTTAGGTTCAATCTCTAGTTTAAAAAAAAAGACGAAAATTATTAACCAGCCTGTAAAAATAATGCTCACAGAACCCCAAACCTAACAACTTATGTTTCATGTACTATCCAATTCACCAAAACAGACCATATCTATCTTTCCTGTGCTAGACTAAAAACAAGCCCCAAGACAATGGGCGAATATAAAACATATCCTTACTCTAGGAAGGATTTGAATTAAAACCAGTAAGTAAAAGACATTTACAACAGTTCCAAATATTGATTAGGCAACATACTTCTATATAATCTATGGATCAAACAACTTATATGAGAAATTTAAAAGCATTTCAAAATGGTTAGTATAGACAACAAAACATATTAAAATGTATGGGAGTTAAGGGGCAGGGATATAGCTCAATGGCACTGCACCTGCCTCACAAGCACAAGGTCCTAAGTTCGATCCCTGGTACCACAAAAATAAATAAATAAATAAATAAACAAACAAATAAATAAATAAATACATTTAATGAAATGTATGGCAGCCAGCTAAAGCAGTGTTCCAAAGGAAATTTACAGCTTTAATTACTAATAGTAGAGGAGAAGAAAGATTAAAAACCTGTGATGTAATTTTTACCTCATATATCAAGAAAATAAAGAGAAAGCTAAACACAAAGGACAGAAATAATGAAAATTATAGCAGAAATAATACAAAATAATAGGCATTAATATGTAGTCATTGCTGGTTTCTTCCCTTGTGAAATTTGTACTTCCTGTTTCAGAAACTTAGGCATATAAGACCATGGATTGTTGTTCTTAGGGAGAATGCACTGGGGAATACAAAAAAAGTTTCTCATGAACTTGAAGCTATGACTGCCACCCAATCACCTGATGTTTCTCATACCTGTGGATAAACAACAAAGAAAGAGCTACCTTCGCGGTGGGACTGATCACTGCTGATTACCACGAGGAGCTCTGGTTGCTGCTACACGGTGGGGGGGGGTGCTATCTAGAAACTGCGGGATTCATTACAGTCTCTTGGTGCTTCCAGGTCTGGTACAATGGTCAACAGGCCACTAGAGGAAATGTGGCCGGACAAGGACAAAGCCTCTAAGGTTCAAACCCCTCAGCGAGGACCTGGGTCTCCCTTCCAGGAAGGGAGTCTACGTCAATCCAAATGCTGTGCGAGGGGAAGAGAACCAAGACTTGGTCCTGGAGAACAGAGATGACAGATATCAAATACGAATGACCTCAAGACCAGCAGCTGTGACACTTGTTCCTCCAGCTATTTTGCATTAAGTCTCTTGGAGTTTGGGGCTGGTTGTAATTATAAAGGGACTCTGGGATAGAGGAGCCTAAAATGAAAGGATGACATGACCATAGGGCTGGAAGGAGTCAAGCATGAATAGCTATCACTTGTGTGTTACTTCATATTCTTTCCGCCCATCTTCTTCCCCAGCCAGTGCTGCAGAGACCAATCCCAAAAAGGTGTTGACTACTTTTGGGCAAATCCTTGCTTCTGTTGGACACTGTATTCCTTTCATCTGTCCTGGGGTTCTCTGATGTAATGGCGTGGGTCTCCATGGGAATACCCGTGGCACTCAAGCGCGCCTAACCTGAAAGTGGGGGAGATAATGCTGCAGGGAAGGTTGAACAATGGCTTCAACACAAAGCCTTTCTCATTTCCGAAGTAAATAGTTTTGAGGCATGTGTTTTAAGTCTCCTCAGAAGCTCTTGTGGGATGGAGTCCCCAAAGTGCAGGTCAACTTAATATGAACATGTCGCTGTTTGACTTTTTCATCTTCTCTTTTCACTCCTCTAGCCCTGTTTCCTGAGAACATCTCCTGAATAAATTGCTTTTGCGCTCACCTTTGTCTTTACCTCTGCTTTGAGGGAAACCTAGTCTAGGACTCTGATCTTCATAAAAGAATTGGTTTTCTCTGGCCACTCACACAGGGCTCTGTTCATTCTTAACTTCCCTTAGCAATAATTCAATCCCATTGGGAGTTAGGGTACTCCGCTAAGGCGATCCTTCTTTGGAGAATTAAGGCTGGCAGCTTTCCCCAGAGAAGACTTGCTTTCTTGATCTCATTCATGTGGGGTTTGTTTTTGTTTTATTTTTTTTTTGGTACTGGGGACCGAACTCGGGACCTTGAGCTTGCAAGGCAGGCGGCAGAACCACTGAGCTAAATCCCCGGCCCTGTTGATCTCATTCTTAATGGCCCCATTTTTGCCCCCTTCTTATTTCTCCTTTAGGAGTTTGATATCAAATGCACTGAATATCTTTGAAACAAACTAAACAAACATCTCTGGAGTCTTCTGAAATTAACCCTACATGGCTGCTGCCTGGTAAATAGGCAGGATTTAGCAAATAGCCACTTTACTAATATATTCCACTTTATCCTTCAGTCGCTGTCATTTATTTTCCTTGCTATTTCAGAATCTTGAAGCCTTGTTTTCCTCTCTTTAAATGACAGACTGTTTGCTCTGGCACAGCCCCAGAGCACAGCAACAGTTAAACTTGTGGCTGTGTGAAAGAGCCCGTGTTTGTTTAGAAGTTACTCAGAAGGCCGTGAGAGCAGGGGACCTGGATTTTAGGAAGTAGCCCCAGGAAACTTGGAGTGTTTTCTTCCCTGTCTTCTTGCCAGAACGCTGGTTTTCCCTTGGCCAATAGTAATTTACAATAAGGTCAAGATCTATAGCAGCTGGAATCTCATAGGATATCAGATGCAGTGCTTTCTTATAAGCCATCACTTGCACTGCAGAGATAAGTAGAAATATTGAGGGTAAGATGACATATTTAGCTTAGAGTTCTATATGACAAATGGTACTTGATAATCCGCCCAGATCAATTCTGGAAGCATAGACATCATAAGAAAGAAAAAGGACTGACACTGTACCTATACATCTATCATGCTTGGAGAGAGATCCAATCTGGGTTAAAAACAGAATAAACTTCGAAAGAATACAGCAACTGCCCTCAACTGACCCATAAAGAAAAAGGAAATTGGAAACAGGAAGCTGAAAATCAGGAGGTTCAAGAGTGAATGTGAGCACTGGTAGGTAGATATTTTTATCAAAGGATAAGTTCACATCATCTAACAGTGACTGACAAGGTGCTTTGGAGTCACAAAGGACTAGAAATCCAGAGGACTGAGGGATTCTGTGACCTAGAGTTCAGGCTGGGGAATGGGGTTGAGAAATAGAAGTAGAATTTGGTCCACTTTTAGCTTCATTATCAAAATGAACATTTTTCTGAGCATCACAAATCATACCTAAGAACATTTCTAAACACGGAAGTATATTTGGTGTTAACCCCATCTGCTTGAACTCACAAGAAATAAGGAGAACAACCAGAAACTCAGAAATTCACAGGGGCTTAAAATGGTGACATTCACTTTGAGAATCTCATTGAAACGTACTTCGGAATGTTCTGTTATTCTGGTTGTATCCACACTGGCTCCTGCCTCCATACGTTTTTTTCCTTATAAAACATTTCCTTGTCTCTTTTTTCTTTTCTCTTCTTCCTTTTCCTTCCTTTCTTTTTCTTCCTTTTCCTCCTCTTCCTCCTTCTCCTCCTCCTTTTTGTTTTTGTTTTTTGAGACAAGATCTTACTACATAGAAACCCAGGCTGGTCTTGAACTCACAATCCCTCTGCCTCAGCCTCCTGAGTGCTGGGATTACAGGCATGAACCACCATGCCTGGCTGAAACATGTGCCTTACATCCATGACAGTATCTGGATTCTGCTGTATCATTAGTGAATCCCAATTGCTCTGTTTCACATGTTACCTTCATGTGTGTTTATTTTGCTTTAGCTTCCTCAGGATATAGGAAATAACATAATTCACTTCTATTCAGAGTAATTTTCAGTCTTAAGCATTTCTTTTGGCATTTTAATTTGTCTTAGGCCAACCAATGAGAAGGGAAAATCATGAATTTCACCTTAAAGATATTTAAATTGTAAGCAAGTCCAATAGAGGGTGACCTTTAAACAGACTATTTTATGGGGGCCCAGGGATTCAGCTCAGTGGTGCCTCCACCTGCCCCGAAAGCACAAGGTCCCGAGTTTAATCCCTGGTAGTATGGAAAAAAAAAAAAGGAAAAGAAAAGACTAGTTTATCTAGTAGAGGCCAGAATTTAATTGGCAGGAAAAAAATAAAAATAAAGTGAAATTTCACATCAAGGAATCTCCTTCCTAACATTATAGAGATAAAAAGTAATAATTGTGTTATCATTAGGGTCAGCAAAGATCTCTTTAGGAAATATAGGGTACAATTTTAGGGACCAAATACTAGTACAATTTTTCTCATTTCAGCAGCATGACAGCCCTGTGGTAGTTAAAACTCAAAGATGAAATCTTGATTTTCAAAAATACAACTTGTAATCAGTCCAAGTGGATATTAATTAAATGACAAGTTCAGTTGAACTGTTTTGCCTTGTATAAATAGAAAGACCATCACAACATTTTATTGTTTAGCTGTAAGTCTAGGCCTTAGACTTACAAAGCTGGAACAAAATGAGCTGTTGGCCACTTTTGGGCGGTTATAAAAGTTTCGTTCTTTCCACTTACATTGTTAAAGGATGTCATATTTTCTGTATCTCAAATCACGTTCCTCCCACAATTTATGTTCTTAGAATACAGAGAATATTTCTGTAGTCACTGATATTATGATTATTTTTTTTCTTTGTGGAACCAGGGACGGAACTCAGGACCTTGCGCTTGCCAGGCAGGCATGGCACCACTGAGCTACATCCCTGGCCCATTTATATTATTATTATATACTTCTCATCCTCTTCCTATTTTTCCTTCCATTTTATTTCTTTCTCTTTTTAATCTTTATTTATTTTTGGTACCAGGTGGATTGAACTCGGTACCTTGCGCTTGCGAGGCAGGCAGCAGAACCACTGAGCTATATCCCGGCCCTCTTTTTTTATTGCTTTTATATCTTCAGTGCTTAGAAAAACAAAATAGAAAGGCCACAAGGCTCACCATTTCCACCAAGGATAAGTATAAAAACATGCCCGCAGTGACCGTTAAGAGCCAGTCCTGGATGCATGGATCAGCAGACACCGACAGGCCAATGTACAGCCCTGCGAAGGCAGTGAGAGCACTTATAAAGTTCATCAGGATGGCAGTCTTCACAGAAAGTCCAGAGCTTAAGAGTACGGCAAAGTCTCCTGGAGTTTAACGGAAAAAGAAAGTGTAATTATCACTTAACTGATGATGCCTTTGTGCTATGAGGTGGTTTCAAATTTCAGCAACTGGAACGCATTTTGGAAGTAAAACTGATTGATCAGTTAAGAAAGTGCTTTCCTGCATTTCTCTAGCCTTCACAGCCAGCTCATTCTACTCTTAGGAAGCTGCAGTTTGAGAGAGCCCTGCTCCTTTTACTTCTCCTAAATACAGTCTAGTTAGAGAAGTCTGTGGCATATTCTTCAGCTCCTGATGTCCTGTGGCATTTTCAACTCTAACAAATGCAAAATAAAGTTACCCTCTGGCTCAGGGCCTCTAAATCTTTCTTGGCTGGAAATTTGCCAGGGGAAATCACAACTTGATGCGGGCTTTTATGACTTAGGCAGGGACTGTTGTGGGGAAAGGGAAAACTACTTAATCAGAGATTTTTTTAAAAATTGCAGAAGTCGGTTAGGAAAACAAATTTTTCCTCTCGAAAATGGCTTTGTCATCTTGACATTTATAGAAAAATGACCTTATTCTGTCCACACCTTTCCTCCAAAAGAAGAATGGCCTGCTCGTGATTTTCAGAACATCTACGTCTCACTCTCAGGAATTGAGACTGAAATGGAATTAGAGACGCCCTGCTGGCTCTCTGTCCCGGTTCCACTGGATAACTGGTCCCATAATGGGCCTGCTGTGGACTGTCACTCTGTCCCATGATTTAGAGTTGAGGATCAGGTGTTTCACTGCTCTTAGAGCAAACACAAAGCCATAGGACATGGCACCCAGACCAGCTATATTTCAATGGGCTCGGGAAAGACCTTAGATAAATTCTCCAAGAACCATGGGTCAATAATACGTTGGTGTCAGGGCTTTGGAAATAGACACTGAGTGCTCCAGGGGGCAATGCAGACCTAAAAGAGGAAGCAGGAAGAACGGTTGCTAAGAAGCCCTCTCCCTAGGGGGTGTGCATGTGCAAATCCATTTCTACTATTTCTGGGCCTGTTTGCAAAATCCCTATTTTATCCCATCTTGGTTCCTAGGAGGCAGGATTTAAATTACAGGGTTATTAAGATTACCCAGAAAAAGAGTCTTATGTGTATTTGCTACCTTATGCCTGTCATTTCAATTTTATGCTTCACTTTAAACATTTTATATAAATCAGGTTGATGAAACCATGGTTTGGTTTCAATTTAAATGTTATTTTATCTCACTGGCCTGTGTTCTAACATTATGGGAGAGGTTCCCCCCTTAGTATTTTTCCCACATTTAATGTGTAGATCTAAAAGTCCTTGCCAAAGTTCTTTAAAATGTAATTTCTCTTTATGACTCTCTCCCATATAGAATTCTCTGGGAATCAAAAAGAGTCCTTGCTGCCTCTGGGAAAGATCATAAAGCAGTCTACTTTAGTTTTACCTCAAGGTACAGAAATTTGATTCCTCTTCCTCTTAGGGTTTAAGTAAATCATGAATGGAAAGTATTCATCTTTCAGTCATATATTGGCAAGAGAACCCAAGTAAACCAGAGCTGTACTGTATTATGATTTTTCTCAAACAGCAGGAAAATTTCCGATTCTATTGTCCAACTCACCCATCTCATGTGGAATTTCATGACACAAGATAGCAATTGTTGTGGTCACGCCCAACTCAGATGATGATGAGAAGGCCGCTCCTAATACTAGGCCGTCTGCAAAATTATGCAGGCTGTCCCCAACCAGTATCATTACTGCTAATAAGCTAATGGCTTTGCCTAAGGAAACAAAAAGGTGTGAGAAGCATTAGCAAAGTGCTGCATATTTCATGAGATCCTCCAAACACCATCAATTTTCCCACCTACTTTTCATATCCTTCTATTGCATCTAATTAAATTAATTTCCTTTCTTTCCACTTTCAAAATACATTAGGACTAGAGATGCAAATATGGTAACCAATGTGCTTAAAATGGTGACTGTTTTTTCTTACTGGTTAAAACAATCATGAGATAAATTATACTTCTACATTCATTATTTTATCACTTTGTCTATGCTAAAAGGAGAAAATAAAAATATTATAACTTCTCAAAATACTACTGATGACCATTCCATCTGTGTCTTTTCAGCTATATTTTAAAATAATTTAAGAACCTTGCTGTGTTTGAAATATTTATGTCCCCCTCACTCCAAATTTATTATATTGAAATTTATCCTATTAATGAGATGGTATCAGGAATCGGGGCTGCAGAATTATCATTAAAATGGAGTTGGTTTTCCAAAACTGTTCCTCTGAGTCTAATTGTCTTGTTTCCATGCACTGCACTGTTCTTACTGCCACTGTGTGACCAACATTGCTTTTGCTGATTGGTGCCTTATTTGCGTCCCAAATGTGACCGCAACAGAAACATGGCCACACCTTCTGCCCCCTACCAAACAAGCTGTGGAACAAGTGCTCAATTACTTCTCTTTCTGAAAAATATCTTTCAGGAGTAGATCAGTTAGATGTTGAACAAAATAAAACAAAGCTTCAGTTTTCATGGGATTCTATTGGCAACTGCCCACTATCTGATTAGGAGAGAGTTGATGAAATAATTTGGATCATAAATGGGTTGAAGTTTTTAATGGACGGGATTCCTGATTTTAAAAACCTAAGCTGTATGTTTTAACTCAATGACAGAGTTGAACAATTCACAAACACAAAAAGTGTTTTCAGGATAACATTCGTTCTGACAGTAAACTGCTCAAGTACCCCATTTAGTAAGAATAGTCATTAGCCAGTTAGCAAAGGCTAAACCTTCATTATTCAGCTGAATATATTCTGTGAAGTAGGTTGAAAGGAGTAGCTCCTCTTACTGTTAGAACTCCACACATTATTCTAATAGTTGTATTCAGTAGAACTAGAAAGAGGTTGCTTTCTAGGTTCTAACCCACACATGTGCTAAGACTGAGGAAAACTGTATTAACGTGGTGAGCTATCTCATCTGGGGAATATAATTTGGCACATCACATATCCCACTTTATAAAAATCACATCAGGAAACAGCAGCCATAGCCCAGGTTTTCAACCAGGAGATAGCTGTGTTGACTGTTTAAAGGTGGCCTGTGTATTCGACTTGGGAAAATCATGCATATTTATAAACATCACTGTAGGACAGACTTATATTCTTCCTCTGTTTTACTAACTCATTTTATTCTTTGTTAAAAATAGGCAGATTTCGGAAACAGATCTAAGCATGCAAATTAAATACCAAATTATTGAATTCAGGGAGTTCACACCAGAGTAGCCTAGTGCTCTGAGCCCAATAACAGCATCAAATCATTTAGCTCTACCTGTCAATTTTTAGAAATAAAGCTCTTCATTGTGAAAACAAAAATTATTTTAAAGTGACATATTTGACAACGTTGTAGTGTGCAAATACACTTGTGATTTCTACGGGTCTACATATGGCTTTGATATTAACAAAATATATTCAAATGCAAGATTTTTAGTGAATACGTACTGTGCTGGGAAACATGTGACCTATTTTGCTGCCTGTTATTTTATATTTCTAAATGTCAGATTATGGATATATAATAAGCCACGAGGCAAATATACACATTTGCATGCAAGCCACAAGGAAGATATTGTGTATATTCTTTAAGGTAACTTAAACTTTATTTAGTGGAAGATAGGTATCCGCTGGTAACTTAATGTACTCATTACAGAAATATCCATGACATTTTACCTTTGCTGCTATACCTGGCAGGCATATTAAGTTCCACATTTCTGAACTATTCAAGATTTTCCCTGTTGAAACATGGGCTGGAACTAATATGATTTGGTTTTCTGTTTATTCAAATCGGACTGTAGATAGGATTTTCACGTCCTGTCTTTTGCAACTCAAGTTGAGTTCCACCAATGAGGTCATATGAAACAAGTCATCCAATAGTTGAAACTAATTCAGCATTTTCCTGGCAAAAGTGCAGTTACATATTCTAATTTGGACTTGTTCACTGTTCATGCCCTATGCCAAGTTTGATATCTGTAATGGGAAGATATGAAGATTGCAAAATATTTGTATGGGATAATTGTCGCTTCTTGGTCGAGTTTCCACTCCCTGCTCCTAATTTGACTTGGCATATCCTTGTCTTCTTTTCCTTTCTTAAAAAAAAAGTTCACTGTAGATCTACTACATGCCAAGCCTTCTAAATTAACCCTGGGATTAAAAATTTAAAGGGAAAATTACTACAAGCAATGTCCTGAAAGCATAACTAAAACAAATATATAATTATGTATTTAATTAATTTATTTATTTATTTTTGGTACTGGGGATCGAACTTGGAACCTTGCGCTTGTGAGGCAGGTGGTGAAACCACCAAGCTAAATCCCTGGCCTGTAATTATATATCTTAAATCAAATAAAATACATGAGTCAGTATAGCTAAAACAATTAGAATATTCATCACTAACAATAGTAATACAACACTAAAAGGTGTTCACTCTTCTTAGTATTTATAGCCCAAACTACATGACAAACTTATGGATAAAAAACTTCTAATTTAATCCTGTATATACCATAACTAAAACACTGAACATCTTCAAACATTCCTTGAGTGTACAAAAGAACATGAAAGAATTTGTGGTTTCATGATGAATGAATAATTACAAAGAAATTACTGGTGTATTAATATTTCTTTAGCTCCCCAAAGCTGGGGCTTATTAGCTATGTGATCCTGAGCAAAGACTTCACCACACTCACAGAGTTGGTTTCTTCCTTTGCATAATTTTGACAATATTTATTCTTGCCTCCTTAAGTTGAGAGAGAGTTAAATTGAGAGACTCCATTTCAAGTGTTTAACACTATGTGTAACACACAAAAAGTGTTTAGTTCATGATAGTTATATAACAATTGGTTAACTAACTTATTATGATAGAATAGGAATAACTAATCATGAGTGGGTTGACATTAAAACATGAGGAAGTTCATGTCACAACAGAGGAGAATAAAGGAGAAAAAATAGGGAGAAGATCTAAGAGCAACTAGTGGAAACCAAAACAAAAAACTTCAAAGAATTACTCAGAATCATAACCAGAGGGAAATAAAGTTTTATCTAAAATTCAGAAATAGCAAAAATCATAGAAAAAAGGTTGATGACAAATAAAAGAAACAAATTAGTTACAGAACAAAATGTAAAAAATGACACGTCCTTGATTTGTACTCCACTGTCTCAGTGACACAATAATAAATGAGATAGACATTTGTGCTCACTTTTCAGTTATCTATGAGGAAAGTTGGAAAGAACCAATGATCTTTCCATATTTCATGGTGAATTAAGTTTCCAACATCATATGAGAATGATTTAAAAAGAATCCCAATAACCACATATGTGTATACCCTAACAGCAGATTTCAGGGGAGCAGTCTTAAACAATTGAGGAAAACAGACAGATCTTAAATATTTTTGCAAAGTTTTTAATAATAAAATATATACTCAATATGGAATCTATGCAGTTTTGACATTTATTTTAGAACACTTTCTGTGGCACTTATTACATTTAAAGTGTAGCTTTTAAAAGTTAGTACTCACATTTTCTGTTGGAGGTTGTCATACTGGCTACAGAAATTTCACCTGCCTGTGAATCTTCTGGGCCTTTCTATTTTAAATTTAAAAATAACTGGTCAAAGGTAAATAACAGTCACATATAGTTGAAACATGAAACATCTTAAGAGCTATATTAATTTTTAAAACAAAACCTTTTCATATACTAGATATATATTAGAACTGTTTTTAAAAATTAATTTTATTGGTACAATTTAAATATACATAATGATCACATTCATCAAAAGAAATTTTACCCGTATAGAACAAAGTTTTAAAGACAAAATATATGTCAAACGGAAAGTACGTGAACAGAGCATACTTTGCACTACTAAATTTAGCTGAAAATAACACACTTGTGTAGATCAATATCTTCCACAGAGACCTGAAGGCTACTGAGAGACGGTAATTCAGACTTAAATTAGGTAAGCCTTTATGAAACCCAAAAGCTATAGAAAAAAATAATCCTTGACTTAATTTGGCCTATTTCCTGTATGGTAATCTGTAGATTTAAGATTTATTTTTCAGTTTGTAAGTCAATGGGGTATTCTGCACGGAGAAGAAACCCATGGAAACATAATACTTCATTTCATTTATTGCACCATAATATTTTGTTTTTATTGCTTTTCCAGTCAGTAAAAGAATCTTGTCAATATGAAAAGTAGATCAACAGATTTACAAAAGACAAATATAATAGATTTATTAAAATTTTCACTCTTCAATATGAAAGAGGAGGAGATTTTGTAATTGCCTTCTTATGGTATGAATTATGATGACATAATTTTAATTCGGGGACTGAGCTGTCAGTTTCTGGAAGACAATCTCTATGCTTATCATTCTTAACCAATTGTGAAAACAATCCTTTTCATGCAGCGTTAAACATACACTTTTAAAAGTGTATTCATGTCATTCTATCACTCAAAGTTGCGGAAACTTTGACACAAATTTAATGTGAGACAAGCATCTCTTTTATGTAAAAGAGAGAAAGTAACATTCATATATTAGAATAACAGCATCTATAGGAAGTAGAGTTGGACCCATGGGATAGAGTTATTAGGGTTTCAAGCCTCTTGTCCTGAAATTGGGGGGATCTAGAAACAAAACACAACAGAAAACCCAATTTGATCATTTATGTTATATAAAAAACCTGATTATAGTCAAAATGTTTTATAATTCTACTACAAGACAAGAGTTCAAATATTTAACAAAAGAATACTTTTTTGAAAAACAGCTACTCTTTACATTGACCTTGGAGTTTATATACTGAAAGGACTGATGAATACACAGGATTAGTACAACAATGTTCAAATAGTTCAAGACTCACTAAGTTCTCTTCAGAGACTTGCTTATGAGCACCTTGTGGGTCCGGATCCTTATTCAAAGGAAGTAATGAAACTCACCATAAAGTGATTTTAAAATTATTTCTACCCTGAAGTTATCTTATTTCAAACCACATTTAAAATATCTAAGCAATTATTTGAAAGTAATTCTTTACTATAAATCAAAAAGCTTTCAAAACTCATCTTAAGGGAAGATTTTTATGTTCCTATCTCTGAGTTAGCAACCCACTGCCAGACTTCTATTTTGCTAAGTTAAAATCTCACAATGAGCTCAGTTATGTCTCTCAGTTAAAATCTATCCTCGCACTGTAAACCCCTTAGACCAAAGCCTGGTTTACAAGAACCACGTTTACAATTATTTCATATTTACCTTGTCCTTATACTTGCTTCTTTCAGTAGAATGGGGAATTATATTAGTCTATAGTTGGAATTATATTCGAATCTTAAGAAGCAATTATCTTTTTAACCATTCTGCCCCAAAATTTTGAGAATACGGACAATTTTAGCATAGAAAATTCAGTAGAATCAAAGGCATTTACTAGAAAACAACTCATTGGACAGAATCAGTTCTCTTCAACATTGTGAAATAAATACCCTAGTCCTCGACTAACTAAGGATTAACCCCTTATTCAACATTTATTTGCGTCAACTAGGCATGGTTAACAGTTAAGCAGAATAGAACATGTAAAGGTCAACTGTTTTATGAAATCTTGTAAACAAAATAAAAACTGATCATTCTTCCAATCTGTCATGTTTCAAAGTGGTGCAGGGAGCAATGATTTAGCTCCCTGGAGTGTGTTCTGTGCTCTTTAAAACAGCTTCTAGGTGACTGGCAAAGATTTCCAGGGTTTATGGTGGTCAAGAATAGACAAATCAGGAGTGGCTTCTATTCCGGCCGCCCCACTGATTTCCATCTATTCATTGAGGAGTAAAACAAAGAAGGGAATCAAATCAGTAGAATGCCTCAGAGAAGTAACGTACCAACTGGATAGCGGACGCAGACTTGCCTCTGCCTGGCTGTTCACTTACTTCAGGGTTGAGTGCAAGGTGGTGGGAATGTCCCACGTGCCCATTGGCCAGTGACGGGCCCTGCTGGAAGAGGATGGGTGAAAATTAGAGTGGAGGTCAGAATGCAGAGGCAGACTTTGTCAACTCCATGGTTCTATGGAACATTTTGTTTACAGGCCAAAGTGTTGGGTGGCACGAAAGGAGTACTACTGTCCTGGGCAAACTTCATGGTGATGAGTATTTGCTAAGACGTCTCATCTTAGAGAAGCACAATCCTGCTCTGAAATACGCATGCTCTGAGTATTTTAAGACTGTAACTTCAAAAACCTCTAGTTGTGATTAAAAGAGCGTTGAATAGTAGTTTTCATATTGTCTTTTTCATACATTAAAACTGTGAACTTATACAGAATTTAATTGTGAATTCTGATTGCACTATCATGATGATTATCAAAATCCTACAGTTTTAGGAGAATAAGTACTAAAATAATATCTCCAGAAATGGATTCACCAATTAAAGTACTTACTTGCAAACATCTGTATTCCTTTTATTTTATGCAATAAGGTGAATCTTGAAGTTGCGCTCTTAAAACTCATTTTAAATTCCCAGAATTGCATTTTTGGATATTCAGAATTTCTTTCCTACATTTCCATTCCACTTAAATTTCTAACTATTAGGTATAGACTGGTATGTTAGCATTATAATTTATTTTTCCTGGCCCCCAAATGCTAATCTATTGTATCAATGGGGATCTATTATTATTTCTTATGCTTCTTGAGATTAGAACTTCTTTTGTGGAAGTTAATTTCCTAAATATTTCAGGTAAATTCTGTGACTGAAGCTTCTATTTCCAATTTCCAAATTATTATAGCATCCTAGTTTGATCCCTAGGCCAAAGAAAAACCCTACTGTATTAAGACAGAACATTTTTATTTGAAACTTTGATATTTATTTATTTTTGAAAAGTTTCAAACTTTCAGAAAAGCTGAAAGAATTATAATGTGACACTCAGATACCAACTTTCTGGATTCTATAATAACAGTTCACTATAATTTATCAGACAACTCTCCATTCTGTCATCCCTTTATGCAACATTAAATGCATTTTATTTTTGATTCATAAAATAGAATTTTTTAAAAATTTAGAAATGTTATTTTAAAGGCATTAATATTTTCCCTGGGCATATGCATTATATTTACATCAATAGTTATTAAGTTAACAGGTAAAGGGCCAGGGAATGGGAAGAAAACCATAAAGGACTGTAGGGTTCCGTGTCTCTATAAAGAAATATTACTTTATTTTTCTCTTGGAGTCTTTCACAGGCATTTATCTTTTTAACCATCCCACCAAACAAGTAATCTATTTTTCTTATAATGTATATAAGCAAAAGAAATATAATTCATGAATAAAACACATTGCTTTATATATTTCATCATACACAGAGAAGTTGATCAAATACAGGCATAATAAAAGAAATTATTCAAGCTAGAAAGAGACTTGCTGTGAATTACATTTCTTAGCTTCCTGGGTCTGTAATTTTAAACTCCCTTATGATAGATGATAATAGGGTGGGGGATTTAGCTCAGTGGTATTGCGCCTGCTTCGCAAGTGCAAGGTTCTGAGTTTGATCCCCAGTACCACAAAAGATAGATAATAAGTGATTTTATGAATTTTTAAAGTTTCACTTTCTTATTTATTTGTTTTTGTGTAGAAAAGACATCCAAAGTACTAATTAGTAGTTTAAGACTTTGGACCCCTTCTTTCCCCAGACATGAAATAATCTCTTGTTTTGAACCAACCATGAAGATTAAACAGAATATTGAACAAATACATTAACTGGCCAGCAACAGATGTTTAAAAAATAATAATCACAATTAGGAACTTGCTATTCAGGGTGATTCACATATTCTTTAAATGAGAGATCCCTCCCTTACATAGACAAATTCATGAAGATGTCATTACTTCTGAATAAGCAATCCTTAAAATACAAATAAATACTATAAAACCCTGAAGAAAAAGATAAATAGAATTTAAAATATACCTTGGCATTTGGTGATACAAGAAGAGCAAAACATTTTTCTATCAAGAAAAATCCATGAATGCCTCCAATCAATCCCAACAGTTTCCAAATATGACCTTTGCTTTCATGGAAATGTCCAAACTCTGGTGCTTCCTGCCTATGTAAACCAAGAACCTTAAAAAAAAAAGAAGGGCAAGAAGGAAATATAACTTTCCATGGCTTAAATATCAAACAGAGTAGGCATAGTAGTTGAATATATTTTAAGGAGACAATTGAGATTGTAAAAAGCCCAGTTTGCTTTTGAAGATGTGAATACTCCACTGCACAGTTTAATCAAGCTCAAATAAAATGTGTACTACAGAAGATAAAGGAGGCCCTTGAAGCAGAACTTGTGTTAGTGAACAGAAACACCTAAGCGTATTTCAGCTAGTGGCCTAGATTTTCATTCACTTTCAGTCTTCTGGCTGAACTGTTTTTAGAAGTTCTATCTGTATCTGTTTACAGAGCAATGCTTTATACGATATTAATATATTCTATATCCAGGACACATAACTATGTAGTTCGTTTGAGGTTTCATGTGAGCTTTAGTCTCCCCATTCTCCATTGCAATTACAGTCAACTTTTAATAAATACTCCAATAACTAAGAAATTCACCTGGAAGGCATTCTAGTGAATGCAACCAGTGAATGATTGACTCAATTTATTGACTGACTTTATGATTTTCTTTTGGTAATACTTAGGATGGAGCCATTGAACCCAGTGAATACTGAGTTACTTCTCAGCCTGCTCCTTTTGTAAAATTTTATTTTAGATAAGATTTCACTAAGTTGTCCAGACTGGCATCAAATTTTCGATCCTCGTTCCTCAGACTCTCAAGTAGCTGGAATTACAGGCATGCACCAATGCACCCAAATTCATGAATTCTTATTGGTGAATCATTTTGTATCCTATTCCTTCCTGGAGAGAAGGAAATTTGTAAAATAGGTCAGTGGTTGACAGATTTACGATGTTTCTGATCATTAAATTTGAAAAAGAATAAATTATGTATGTATAGATTTGTGTATATATATTCACAGCCACGTACATGTGCACAAACACACACTCACCCTTCCATATCCATGAATTCTGCATCCACAGATTCCACCAACCGTAGATTGAAAATATTCAGGGGGGAAAATGCATCTCTACTGAACAAGTACAGATTCTTTTATTGTCACTATTTCCTAAATAATATGGTATGACAACTATGCGCATAGCATTTACAATGTAATATGTTATTATAAGTAATCTAGAATAAAAATCTAGAAATATAGGCGAACATGAATAATACCCCATTTTATAGAAGGTACTTGAGCATTCTGGATTTTAGTATCCTCAAGAGTTCTGGAGCCAGTCCTACACAGAGAGGGTTAACTTACATAAATGTGTGTATATGTGTGAATATGTATGTGTATCTACACTTATACCTTGAGTACACATATAGACATAGCTAAAATAGAATATGTATCAGTCAGTTATTTTGTTTCATGTTCACATTAACATACATCTATCTAATACTTGTGATAGCCTTTTCACAAAATAAAACAGAAGAAAATCTCACAATCTCATGGTATAATGTAGATCATTAAACTGAATGAATCTAGCAAAAAAAAAAAAATGCAGAGGGCTGGGGATTTAGCTCATTTAGTTCCACCACCTGCCTCACAAGTGGAAGGTCCAGAGCTCGATCCCCGGCATCCCCCCACCACCCCCGCCAAAAAAGCTGCATACAGAAATATATCAAAATATTTTTTAAAATAGGGAAATCATGACTGTAGTATTTTTCTCATTTCTGCACAAATTTTGAAAACTTGGATCATATTCAGGAACCACTGATTTTTCTAGCTTTCCACCACATTTGTACCACATCTTTCTTCCTCTTTCCAAAAACTCTTGTCCTCATCTCTCTTCTCAAGCCAAAAACCTGCCTTCTAAATCTCATGAAACCAAACCAATCTCTTAGGTTCAGCCCTGTACCATTTCCTGCCACCCCCAAGTCCACCCTAGCTGCCCTTAATTGTGTGCTCTCCTCGGCATGAGACCAGGCCGATTTCAGATCCTGTAGCTGTTTCCCAGGATCCCTGGCACAAAACAACACTGCAACCACTGTGGTGACCTAGAAAAAGGCCTCGCCACCGCCTCAAGCCAATAATAAGCCCTGAAATATTTCCAGAAAGTTATATTACAAGGGAAATTAAAACTAATAATGGTTTGTTTTATTTCTCCAATGCTCACTCTGCGATTTTCCAAACATCAAATCATCATTGAGCCTCTCAGCAACAAGAGTAGAAGAGTGCCAGAGGGCTGTGGAAAATTTTACCATGTCAGGCGTTGCAATGGGGGGGATCATTGGTCCGTTCCTCATCTACATTAAGAGATTTTAGAGGGAAGAGATAACTTCCTCTGTAAAACCATCCCCCTGGGCTCTTAGTATCTCCGGTCTTCATGCTTTCACTTCCGGTAAATGAAGTCTCAGAAGACTACAACATAGGGCCAGCTTCCTCGTGCTGACATTTTGCTTATGAGAAATCCAGACACTATTAGTCAAGCAAGAAAGAGAACTCCACTCTGATAGCTCAATTGAAGAAATATTAATGTCGGTATAATGGCTGAGGACAGGGTCAGGGTCAAACAAGGGACAATGAAGCATCCACTGACCACCAACCCCCGGGGACCTTTACCACCCTTAGGTCTAAAAGGGGAATGGGAAGAAATGATGGCGAAGCTCAGGGAGACAGGAAGCCACCTGGAGGACATCCAGATGCAGTGCAACTCCTTCTTAGCTGATTCTGGCTCAGATGCCCCAGCCAGGAGGGGTGGGGGTTAGAAGGGGCACCCTTTCCTCTCTGTTCTCTCTTTCTCTCTCTCTCTGCTCCTACCCTGGATTCTCCGATTTGCTTCCCATTGGCTGAACCCAAACAAAAATCCAGACTGCAAAGAGCTGGAGAGGTATCACCTTCTGGGGTAGAAAAGAGCAAGGAAAGCAGAAAGAGAAACTGAGTTGGGGAATGAGGGGAGGCCACAGGAGCAAACCAGGGTAATGTCTGGTATTTGCTTCTGCGTCTTTCTTAATAGGAATCTAGATCTGATCACCTTTTTAAAATAAATTTCAAACATAAGAATTGCAGTTTTGTCATTTTTTCCTTTCTACAAGTGTAGAGAAGCTTAGGGCAAATAATATTTCTTTCCAAGGGAAACATTGGCCACTGTATTTATTACTGAAGTTCCCATAAAAGTTTATATAGCTAGCTCTAATAATTAAATGTAAAGAGAAGTTAGACATACTGTGAGTTTTTTTCATGTAAGAGAAATCATGCGATATCTAAGTCTGTGTGTCTGTCTTAATTCACTTAGCATTATGTTCTCAAGTTGCATCCACTTGCCTACAAATGCCTCAAGTTTATCTTTCTTCATGGCAGAGTAGTACTTGATTGTGCACAAATACATTTTCCTTATCCATTCATCTGTTGATGGACATATGTTGGTCTTGGATATTTTCAAGATCAAGCTATTACAAACTGTGGTGCTATAAACACTGGTGTGCATGTTTCACTGCACTATGGTGACTTTAACTCTTTGGGGAATAGACCTAGAAAGGGGATGGCTGGAACGGAATTTCTAATGGAATGAAATTTCAAATGGAATTTCTACTTTTAGTTGAGAAATTTCCACACTGGTTTGCACAGTGGTTGTATTCTGAGTAACATTTTGGGCACTCTATTAAGATCATGGTACACAGTTTATTAACTATTGTCATTCTTTAATTATTTTGCTATGAAATTTTGGGTTTTTTCATAGAAGTAAGAGTGCTTTTTAAATATTTTCTTAATGTCTACATGTATTACCTTAAAATTAAAACAGATAGATGAGAAATTAAACACACTGCATCTGAACTGGAAAGAAACAGATTACCTGAGGAATAAGGTGTAGCAGAGCATCCCCTGACAGCGTCCCGACAGCGAAGCCCATGAAGAGCTGTAGAACAAGGTCGTAGTTCTCCTCACAGCTGTGGAAAAGGACCAGCGTGCTCCCGAGCATGGAGCCCAGCGTGAGAAGCGCCACAGCTGCTGTACCATAGCCGTATTCTGAGTCAAAGCAGATCACAAAACATTCAGCACACCTGGCTGCCCCGTCATGACAGCTCGTGGGCCTGCCACAACCATCTGCCTGATAGGAACAGCACTCCTCCCAAAAAAGTCAAGACGGTAAATTTTATGTTAGATTTAACACAAATTAAGTGAATTGTTGGAATGGTCATACAATAACATAGGTTTTATTTTATTCCAATTCAGTAAAAATAATCATTTTAGAAAATCATCTCTAAAGATTTTCAACCCAGTTTTATACCCCATTTCTCCCCAGGTAGATTCTACACAGGGGGTGTCATTTTTCATATCAAATACATAAATATATTTGAATTTTAACTTGGGTATCTAGATGTCTAAAAAATGCAAAACTGTCACACCTTTTGGTTGCTATAAAAGATTATAAAATGTCAAGAACACACAAGGACAAACTAGGGTGTGATATTTCCCAATCAAAAGGCAAAGTTGCAAGTTCTTCTGTTTTTCTACTTTTCTCCCCTCGGTCCTGTGGGAGGCACCATGTAATACTGAAGAATGAATGTTTCATTACTGTAGAGCTTATAAAATCTTCTCAGGTCCTCTGTGAGTCAGGATTTGCCTACTCTCACGTGGGAAGGACAACCGAAAAAACCATCAACTCTGATATTTGCAGTCAAAGGACTCTGCTAATTTACCCCAGGTCCCTGAATGGGAGCCACAGAGTCTTGATTGGAGTTAGAGATTTGCAAATAGGCTCTGCCTAAGCATTTCCCATCATTGCAATCAAACTTGGCCCACCTATTAAACTCTTAGCAATTCCTGAGCAACCACTTTAAGTAGGTCTAAAATTTGATTTGTACATGGCCATAATCATCTTTCCTGGAAACTCAGTTAAAGGTGGAACTTTGGGGCTGAATTACAGCATACTGAACAGTATTCCCTTGATAATGTTTCTCTGTGTCGGCCCCTCTTCAATGCAACATCTTCCATTTCTGTAATTTTCAAAAGCCAATGTAAGCCTATCTTTTCAATTATATAATGCAACATTTTAAATTTGAGAATAGCAATGTTTTTCTAGATTCTTCAGTGTTCATTACTTGTGACTTTTTTTTTTCAGGAAAACTATTCCCTAGAAAAGTCTCAGAACTTCATTAAGTTCACTAAAACTTCCTTTACAGATCATCAAAAACCCCTTCCCAAGCAGCCTGTATGTCTCAGACACCAGGCCAGGTAATGGGAATATAAACATGCCCATGGACACTCAGAGTGATACAGTTCTGTCCTCTTTCATTTGAGGGCATTACTGACCACCAAAGGCTGACTTATTTAACTGCTTCCTTTTAATGAACCTTTTTTTCCTCTCCCAGTGAATGTGCAGTCTTAGGTATTTAGCCTGGACATATTTTTGTTCATATAAAATCTTCCAGTGAGCCACTTGCTGGTACAGAATCCACTGTGACTTAGAGGGGAGTAGCTGAACAATTCAACAAAAGATGGCATTGCAGGCCAGCTCAAAGGGAAAGAAAGCAGCTCTGAAAATATTATGGGGTCTCTGGATTAATGGTAAGATTTTGGGGTTACATGGGATAATTCTCACACTTTTACTCTATGCCTTGGCTATTCTTTTAGGGAGGGAGCTTAAATATGCAATGCTCTAAATTTACTGAACACATTTTTGTAGTCATATTATCATCTGAAGCTCACAGGTGCCCTGCAAAGTCTATGAGAGGCTCATCCTCAGTGACTCAGTGGACACAGACAAGTGTCAATATTGGACTCTTCACTTCCTGGAGCTGCCAGCCATACCTGGTGGGCTGATACCCTCATCCGAGGGCACATCCCAGTGTTCTGTGATGTGTAATAGGTTGGGAACCATTATAGAATATTGCTGTTTTTCCTTCTGTGTATAGAAAAAAGGCTTGGGGAAGTAGAAATTGCTTGAGATCACAAGTTAGCTGGGGATGGAGAAGATTCAACTCTATACGCCAAATCCCAATGCTAAAGCTTTTTCTTTTATACCATACCACTTTTCAACATGGGTCTAATAATTGGTCCAGCTCTAGGGGATAAAATTAATTTTTGTGAATTATATACAAAATCTAACATACTCATTGAAACGTACGATTGTGGCATAGCTAGAAATAAGGACTCTGGGACCAGCTTGCTTGAGTGTGAATTCCACCTTTATAGCTTACTGGTTGTACATCCTTGAGCAATTCACTTAAAATTTCCGTGCCTCAGTTCCCTCATTTGTAAGAATAGGATAACAGTAATAATACCTGTACCTCCTTGCATCATTGGGAGGATGAAATGAGTTGGTAAATGAACAGTGCTTAGAACAGCACCTCGTACACCGTAAGTGTCTGGCTCTCACTACCTCAGTGGTGGACATCGGCTTTCTGATGAAGAACTTACTCTGTAGTGTGGTAGGGAGATGCTTTGCTTGTTGGTCCATGGGCAGCTGGCAAGAGCAGCTCAGGAGTTGCTGGATGATCCCCGGGCTGATTTGCTTGAAGTCTTCCTTAGAAATGACTGAAAGGCTATTCTGTAAAAATATCTCCACCAGCTGCCTAGCAGAGAAGCAAGTCTGTATGGAAAAAATGCACATTATTACTAACCCTGAGACTGAATCAGGTATGCCACCCACTGCCAGTCTTGAGGACCCAGAACTAGGTGGAATGACTACCAAGGGTGAATGAAGCCACCGCTACTTGCGTTTCTCTGCTACCTTTTGTTAATTAACCTTTGTTAACTTCCAAAGACTAAGTCTCCAATCAAAATCTGCAGTACCTCACCCTTATACTAAGCATTATTTAATATTTCTTGCACTTTTTTTTTCTCTCCTGAAGGGACACATTGTATTTTACACTGTGTAGCATGATGTTTTAACCAAAGCCTAAGGAAGTCTTCATGTTTTTGTGGTTTGTTGTTTTTCAACAAAGCTAAGACTTCAAATGATAAGGGAGAACTCAGTGGTGATGAGGTCATTGTACTCTCTGATTTAATAAGTCTGTGTTGGCAACACATTTTTTAAAGTAGCAGAAGGTTAAATTTACCAAACGTGAACACTATGTTAACTGGCTGGTGTGCAAACCAACACTGAATGGTGTGGCTCCCTCTGTGATTGACTTCCCTTCTCCATCCCTTCTACTGGCTTTACCTATTTTTATCTGTATTTTTATATTTTTCCATATTACACAGGCACACTTACAAAGAAATAAGACTTTTACTAACAGATGTAATAAGTCTCTAAAGACTGCCAGAAGGTATTCGTCCATCACAGAAGTGAAAGCTGACATTTAATGTATCAAAGATTGCAATTATAATGGCAGATGGTTTCTCTGTGCTTGCGAGGCAGGCATTGGTGCCGCTGAGCTAAATCCCCGGCCCAAATAGATGACTTCTCTTGAAATACCATCCCCCATCCAATGTCTTTGTAAACTTTAGTTGCAATCCGTTAAGTATTTGGGGGAAAAAGTCAGATTTATAAGGCTGGCCTGATTTTCTATGCTGTAGAATGTAAGGATTTCTGAGCTCAGTGGTAATCAGAAAATAATGATGTTTGCTGGTCCCCGTTCCCCACATAATAACCTCTGGTAATGATTCCACAGGTGAGCAAATTTTATTTGGATCAGAAAATGTTTGGTTACATGGAAGAGAAACCACTTGAAACAGAAAAACAAGAGGAGCCTGCCGTGGAAGGGGTCAGAGGGTCACAGCATAGACTCGAGGGACTGAAAGGAACCAGCGCCTCAGAAGCAGCTGTGATCTGAAACTGGAGCCTCAGAGCCAAAGATGCGCATGCGTGTGCATATTGGCACGCCTTTCTGGCCCCTTCTGTACACAACAATTTCCTCTTGCAGTGTAGTCCTCTCATTTTGTACACAAATGGCCATAGAAGTCCCGACTCCGAAGTGACCTTTAAGTCAAGGACGCAAGACTGGGTAGAATCTGGGAATCCTGAGAGAGGTATGATTGGTCCAGAAAACTCATGGACAGGCTCTCTTGAGTCATGAATCTGTCTGATTGGATTCGTCCTGCCCATGTTGGAGGAGTGAGGAAGACATTTCTCAGAAAGGGGCGGGCCAAGAACTCCCAAAGGTTCTACTCTGAAAAGCATCAACAGAAAGTTAAATTTTGGTCATTTCCCCTTTATTAAAATGATGTAGGCCAAGGACAACATTCTCTTTTGCTCATTTGTTATTGAAGGAATCCAATTATTTCACTGTTAAAAATCTCAAGAAGAAAGGGAAACTCATAACAAACTTTTGGTGATGAAGCTTTCATAATAAATACTCTGATTGGGGCCGGGGATTTAGCTCAGTGGTTTCGCTGACCTGAGTTCGATCCCGAGTACCAAAAACAAAAAACAAAAAAAACACACTCTGATTGGAAAATGTGTGACCAGCAAGTAAAAGAGTGGAGAGATAAACAGGAACAGCACGCTATGGATCCTTCTCCCATTCATTGTCAAGAAATTGAATGGTTTCCAGTTTTAGAAGACCGTCTCACAGAGGAAGGTTACTCTATTATCAGCTTCTGTGCCCTTCATCTTTGCTGGCTGCCTCTGTGCTTTTGAGGTCTTGTTTTAAATTTCTTCTGAAATCACTAACACATTCATTACATTCTATGAATGTTAATCCACAGAATTACATGTGATTCAATACATTCTATGAAATTTTAACACAAAACACATTTAACAAAGAAGAGAATAGAATGAAAAATTAGATGATTGGGCCAGTAACTTTTTCAACATCTTTATTCTTCTACAGAACACATCAACATAAGCTTACATTTGTGTTGATGTCATCAGACTTCTATGGACATTGTCATGCATATTTTAAATTCCTAACTCTAAATCTTTGGTTTGGGATGTACTTGGAGGGCTTATTGAAGACAAAGTTCAGGGCTTGGGGTCTGGCTCAGTGATACAGCACTTGCTTACCATGCATAAGCCCCTTGGTTGAATCCCCAGCACCACAAAATAATACTAATTAATATTAATACTGCTACTACTAATAATAAATTTTTTAAAAGAGTGCTGGGCTTCATTCCCAGGGCTTCTGATTCAGTAGATTCTTGGTGGGATGTGAGAATTTGCATTTCAACCAAATTCTTAGCTGATGCTGAGGCTTCTGTCCAGGGACAAGATGTGCAGAAGCATTGATTTAAATAATACAGGCAGGGTCCCTGGATCTGGTGTTCCATATTAGGATCCTAACAAGAGTCACAAAGAAAATCACACAATGGAAGAGAGGGAAATAACTACAGAAGAGGTTGTTTTATTTTCCATAATTAGCAATGACCATAATTATGAATGTTCTTAGGATATACATGCTTTGGCCAGGTATGGTGGAACATGTTTATAATCCTAGCACTCTAGGAGGCTGAAGCAGGAGGACTGCAAATTTCAGCCCAGCCTGGACAGTTTATTGACTCAGTGAGACCCTGTCTGAAAACAAAAAGTAAAAAAGGCTGGGATGGCCCTGGGTTCAATCCCCACTAACATTAATACATACACACCCACACCCCTACGCACACCACCATACACACAGCATGCCTTAAGTAAATAATGCCTACTTTAAAAAAAACCTTTATCCTTTCTGCAAATAGTATTTCCATAAGGCAAATTTAATTCCTTTATTAAATTAAATTATTGTCCTTGAAGAAACTTTTAAGAAGACTTCATGAAGTTTAATTTGGAAGTTAACTAGTGACCTTCAGTTGTGCACAATAAGCATCCATTTGAAAGAGTGAACTGAGATACATTTTATACATGGAAAAGGCAAGAGAAATTGATGTCTAAAAATATATAATAGCAAGAATGAATAATCGATAATGCAAAATAGGAAGAAAAGGTCCAAAGGGGTAGGGGTAGTGGGAGGGGCAGGGGAAAGGAAAGAAGGGAAAGGAAA